ACCTGCTCCCGCTGCCATGTGTTGGGGGTGTGTGTGGGGGGGGGGGGGGGGGGGGGTGGACAACCAGCAGTGCAATACAGCATAAGAATAACAAACAAGAAAAAAATCTTGTCCTGCACACTGGAGCGTGTCACGCCGCCCACGAGCAGCCCCTCCTGTACTGAACTGCACACCACCAACCAGGGAGCCTCCCAGATGGCAAACAGCGGCCCTCCCACGCCACACCGAGCCTCACGCCGAGAGGACGAGGCAGGGAGAAGAGGCAGCAGAAGGAGAGGACATGCCAAGTCAGGCGTGGGTGGGGGCGGAGCGAGCCTCAGCGCATCGAACGCCACAGCGCCCCCCCACGCCCAGCGACGCGGCTAAGGACCACAGCCATGCCTGTGACCTGACAAACCACAGGAAATCCACAGTGCGTTCCCAGTGACTCCACAGTGCGTTCCCAGTGACTCCACAGTGCGTTCCCAGTGACTCCACAGTGCATTTCCAGAATGTTCCTAGTGTAGAAAGTACTTGAAGTACTTTCCCAGAACCACTCAGAGTACCCCCCCCCAGGGTCGACTGATGCAGAAATAGACAGAGCAGCTTCTTGAACCTCCCTTTGCTGTCAGACTGCCAAGTGGCGGGGGGGGGGTCGACACCACATTGCATTCTGGGTAAGACCATACCATGCCACAGTCTTTCAAGGACTGAAGAAGTCCAAGCACAGTTCATAGGTCCCGGATCAGTTTGAGCACATAGTGACAAGAAAAGGGTCAAGGTTTCAGGGTTAAAGGATAATAAAACTATCGTTTTTTACAAGCAGAAAGTCCCTCCCTGACAAAGCTCACAGTGCGGACAAACCCCACCCTGCCTGCTCCTTTCAGTAAAAGGCCTGAGGACCTAGTGCTCAATTATTAATATGGGGACAGACAGTGAGATGAAGAGAAACTCATGCATAGTCCAGATGGGGGCACTGCAGCTGCTGGTCATCGACCTCTGGCTGAACAGAGGGGACTGCAGGATTGGAACAGTACCTGGCAGGAGCTAAACACAAACCACTAACTCTAAACAACACTAACGGCAAACAATCATACACATTACGCCTGTCTTCCCAGCTGCATGACTGATAATCACAGTAATAATTAATATCACATGCCCATATTGAAATGACAAATATACCTTAGAGAGAAGCAGGTACACCCCAGAAAACGTCCTGTTCTATTTCTCTTAACCCTGCCAGTGCCTCTCTACAGGGTCGGGAACAACAGTGACTTTATATTAGTAATAATACTATTGTTAATGATGCACAGTAAAGTTTCCAGTATTCCTGCTGTCAGAAGAGCTTCTATCATCTCCTTTGCATCACTGTAACTTCACTGCAGTGTGTATAAACATATTCTGAATCATCAAGGTAACCCACACAGCAGTGTGATTAAATCCCTGAGTCATTATCGTAATCCGCACTGCAGTGTGCATATAAATCCCCAAGTCATCAATACAACCCACACTGCAGTGTGTGTATAAATCTCCGAGTCATCAATACAACCCACACTGCAGTGTGCGGATAAATCCCCGAGTCATCAATACAACCCACACTGCAGTGTGTGTATAAACCCCCGAGTCATCAATACAACCCACACTGCAGTGTGTGTATAAACCCCCGAGTCATCAATACAATCCACACTGCAGTGTGTGTATAAACCCCCGAGTCATCAATGGAACCCACACTGCAACAGGCAAGAAAGCTGTGCTCTCACTTTACTCACTCTAATCCACAATCCACTGATCTGTAAGCAGCACGATAAAATTCCCACACAGACCTTATGATAACTTCTCCCTCTGACAGACTAATGCTCCTAAGGAGAACTTCTGGCTGAGTCTTCTAATTAAATTGGACCACAGTTAATGCAGCTCCTATGCTGGCTGCTGCCTGAGCCATCAACCGCATGTCTAAACAGGATATGAACAGTAGATGAAAATTTTGCAGCTTCCAGCTACTAGAGGGCATATTGATGTCAATCAGGCACCTGCAGGCCTCTCCTGTCAGCCGAGATTTGTGCATCTTATGAGAAATTATTATGTTTTTGTAAACTACACAGTATTTAGTCATCTCAATGTCACCCAAAGCCCACAGGACGTTGAAATTGGCCACGCGGCCTGTCGCATGCCGGGCTGTGGAGGCCTACCAGAGCGGACATGGTTCTTCCAGTTGATGCAGATGCCTTTACTGTTCTCCACCAATGGGGTGAGGCAGGGGCCGCAGTGGGATGCGCCGGGCGGGCAGAATTGGCGTTTCTGGATCGCGCAGTCCAGCGGCTCGGGGCATCGCTTCACTGCCGGGGCAGATGGACAGACAGACAGACAGACAGGACACAGATGTGAGTCTCGGCCTGAGGTGACACCCAGGCAGAGCTACGGACAGCATAAGCATGGCCTGTCTACACTTTGCACTGCCATGGGGGGGGGGGGGGGGGGCTGCTCTAATAAGAAGCTCTATTTTTACTCTGTAAAACCATCAGTTCTTAAAATAACTGCTTACAACCACTATAATGAAATGAAATGGTGCTTCATTTGCCATCTGCAAGTGCAGGTACTTTGGGATGTTTCACTTTGCATGTCCCATCTAGCTCACCTCTGAGTCCGGCCACTTATCTGGCGACCTGGGGAATTTCAAGGGCTTCCCAGCCTTGCTCAAGGACCCAAAGATGAGATTCGAAGTGGTGACTATCTGATCACAGGCACAGAGGCCTAACTCAGTGAGCCGCACACCTCCCACCAATAAAAATCTGCCCACAAATTATTAACGCATGAAGAACCAGTAATTAATGTAAATAATTATAGATACACTATGCGTCTTTTCATTCGGTAAAATTAAGGCCAAGGATGCGTATTGAGAATGTCAGCTCTCCCTATTCATTTCTCCTACATCAGCAGGACTGAGACCAAAAATAGAACAAATGAAAAATGATGCTCATGTCTCGGTCTAACTGGGACCCGATTCTTCCCTTGGAAAGTAAACAAAAACCATGTCTTTCTAGAACATTCCGTGATCGTTTGCATAAGCTGTGGCCCTCAGCCAAAACAGCACCTCCTACGGACAGGCGAAAGGAATGCGGGTGTGATTACAAGGTGGACCAGCCAGTCGTCATTCACAGAAATGACATGACTCAGCGACGATAACACTCACAGCATCCACGGTGTTTTATGTGTTGCCAATAAACCGTTATTAAAGCCATTCAGAATTGGAAAACCTCATTCAAAGGAATGAAAGTAGGGCACCTCGTGGGTCTTGATCTCACAACCTTCTGCAGTTCCCTGACTGTCGCATCTCTGGCGGTCGACATCTTTCTTTCCAGATTAATCATTGATTTACATCCAAACCTAAAGCTATTATCAACATTTGTAGAGTCTTCAAACCTTTTATTTTTCCAACTGTACAAACATGTTCCTGGTAACTGAACATACAGCCTATTGCTTAGTTTTGTTATGTACATGTGATGTACCATCCTAAAAATGCTCTTCATTGTCACCGTCCAGCCCCTGTCACGAAGGTATGACTGACACAAACCGGATCCGTTCGGCCGGAACCAGCCAAGGCTCGGAATGGGCCCAATTAACAGAGTTAAATGGTAACATACAGATTCCAGCTACTCTCCTTAACGAGACCAAGGGCCCAATTACCCATAATGGCTTGTGGCATCACCAGCGTGCGTCATGGCACAGGCAAACGCGGGATCAGACGCGGTGACACGCACGCTCCTGGAATCACTCTGACGGAAAAGGCCACTCAGTCACGGTTTATGGCTTTGAGGGGGAAGCGGCGGGATAGTCGTCGTGGGAAGTGCACAGCTGACGTGCTCGGCCTGGAGGCGGTGGGGGCCGGCTGCCTGGCGAGTAAAACCCCCGACACGATTCACTTACTGGAAGATTACGGGGGGGGGTGGTGTGGTGGGGTGAGGGTGGATGAGGGGGGATCAGTAACTGCCTTTTCCAGCTACTTTACTGATGCTTGTGACCTTTGGTGGCTATTGATGGAAATTCCAAGTTACTCTCAGTTCTGGGGGAACCAATGTGCATTTGAAGAGAACCTCAAAAGTACACTGCCCCCTACTGGTTCACCAAGGACTGACATTTCCCTGAATTGTGTAAGAAGAGCAGCAGCAGTAGCATCAGCAGAGCAGCAGCAGTAGCATCAGCAGAGCAGCACGCTGGTCAGTGGGTCACAGTGTCCCCTCAAACCTCCAGTCAGGGGTTCTGGGTGTCCACTGGATTCTTAACCTATTTCAAACACTGGTACTGGGGCAGTAATGAAGCTTCTGAAAAGACCAGCCGGTTCTGTCTTACTAGGTAACTGATGTGAACAAGTTAAAAAACACAGACACTGAGAGGCACTTGATCGCCAAGCTGAAAGGCCTGGAGTGACTCACAGCATCCAGGTCTTTGGTTCCTCAGGATGATACCCCTGTCATTCCCAGGACCCTGAGCCCCCTCCCCCACACCACCTGAGTGTTTTAAGAGCGCTAGTAAACAGGTCAACCCTAAACTGCACAATCACTCTTAAACGGCAATTCTGACCCAAAAAATTTCCAGTGAATTAAACGGCAGCTCCTGAGACTTAAATGGTGAACATCGCACACGGCTGCCTCAGGTATTAAACTCTGGAAACATTTCTGTTCCAGTTTGTACTGGGCGGAGGTGGAGCTTAGCATTTATAATGGTGGACAAACCAGCAGGTTCCTTCCCAGCAGCTGTTTGCCTTCCTAATATCCACCATCCCGCTGACGCACGTCTTTAAAACGGGTTCCTGGGAGAGTCACATGGGGGAGGGTTTGGCAGATACAGAAGACAAGCACTGGTGGACACTGGGAAGGGCACGAACAGGTCACAACTGGCTGAGAATCGGTCAAAAAAACACACACACACACACAAAACGCTCTAACATTGTATATACTACATAGACAAGCGTTACTTAAAATAGTAAACAAAAACCATTATTAATTATATACATATACATAATATATACATAAATACATATAGTGTCTAAGCATATAATACATGTATAATGCATTATACAGCAAACAGGAGAAAGCTGTCAGATTTGTGCATATATGACGTTTTTAGGGCGATCACAAAGTTTTTAGCCAGATCTTAGGGTAGATTTGCAGAGGAACACGCACACCTGCTTTGATGTGAGGGCACACGGTCCACTGCGCCACATGGTGCACACAGGATCCCTTTGATCTGTGCCTGGGCGGCCCACGTTCTCATCTGCACCAGGTCACTTAACGCCAGGTAACAGAAGCTGCGTCATCCCATCAGCACTGCTAATGCTAACAAACAGCTGAGAGTCTCAGTGGGCAGGACAGTGACAAGCATGCAGCAATATCCATTAATTAATTACTGCAAGTCATTCAATCATTCCCAAAGTGTACAGTCACATACTAATGTGGTCTGCTATAGTCTTACTGTTAGCCGTATTTCTAACACACACACCATTTTCTAGAGTATGTAAAGCATTTAGCTGGTTAACTGAAGCTTCTATTCAATGTGTTCATGCATTTCACTGGATTTTTTTCAGGCGCCTGCTGAGGATTAAACTGGCTGTCGTTAGGGTAGAAGCTCAGGCTAACAGATCCTGTACTGGACAGCTGTGACACAGACTAAACAGAAAACACAGACACAAAACTACAGATCAGACAGACTGGGGCCTCCCAGGACCACATTTCCCATGAGAACACGGGTAGAGTCACCTGACCACCTAGCTTGTGACTGGATGTTGAGAACTGGCAAGGTGGAAGCTGATGAAGATGGTGAAAATGATTAATGCGACACAGTTACTGTGCTCACAGGTAACCTAAACCAGGGGTGGCCAATCTTATCCGCATGCGGGTTTTTGCTGCAACTGCTGATTGGCTGAAGAGTCCTCACACCTGGGTTTGAGCAGCTGACCTACAGGTTATCCCAAAATCCTGCATACACACCGGCCCTTTGCGGATAAGATTGGCCACCCCTGACCTAAACACTGTAAGTAGCCCCAGCTGCCAATCAGAGGTGTGGCATATCGATGGTGGTCATGGTAACCACATCCCAAGGCGGGACATCGCCCGTCTTGCCCCGTCATGTAACACACCCTCGATTATCTGCTGCATCAATATTCGGGTGAATTAATAAACCCTGACGCACGTATGACACTCTCCCTGACACCACAGCAGGGGTGACAAAGTGTGTGGGGACACGGAGTGGCCCCTGCAGGAGGGCGCGTGTGAAATGACTGGGTGTGGAAAACAACACTTTAAAGGCTGACAGCATTCTGTCAGATGTGGGGGGGGGGGGGGGATTAAATATCTTTATACACAGTTCCCGAACTATTACTCAATATCAACTCTTACGTAAGTAATAACTCTCAGACCATCTCCATCTAAACTGCTAATTTTCTCACTCTTTAGCCATTGCTTAGCAACCGTTCTCAATGGACAAGAGAGAGAGCCATCCCCCCCCCCACCCTTAGACCCATCTTCCCCAGCACCTTTGTTATGTGATGAGGGAAGGACAAGAATGAACTTCTGATGAAGACCCTGCATGGAGGGAACAGCGCCCCCTGTGTCCTGCAGCCGGCATCACTCATCGCCCTTATTCCTGTCTGGTTGCTGTGGCAGTTTCTCTGGTATGTCAGGCCTGCACTTCACTCTTTTTCCATTCTCCGTTCTTCACGTTTCCATCTGCCGTTCATCACTCCCTCACTCTCCACAGCCCCCCAGCCGTAAATTTGCTCTTTATTCTCTCCGGCATCTTACGTCATCTTCCCCTCCCTCGCCAGCTGGCCCCGCTTACCTTTTTAATCAGAATAACAATCACCTCCCTCTGCCCTTCACTTTCAATCATTTATCTGCTTTGGGTTACAGGAAAAAACATCAATTCTAAATTAATCTCTGAGGCAAAAGACAGATAAACATGACAAGCACAGAGGATAACCAACCGCCCCACATGGGCACCAACTGCCACACACGAGCAGGTCACGCGGGCACGACCACCACACATGGGCACGACCACCACACATGGGCACCTACCGCCCCACACGAGCAGGGCACATGGGTACTGATCCCTCTGGACGATAAAACTATTTTCAACCCGTCTAATATTTATCTCCCATGATCCACCTGTAGTCTGCGATCATTTCAGGGCACTACATTAAAATGCAGTATTCCGTGTGCATCGGGGAACACTGCACACTTCTGCTCGTCTTCTCCCGTCCTCCTCGGTCTTCTCACCAAGGACCCGCCCTTCCATGCTCGTCATCCCTGTCCCAGTACATCTCAGCAGACTAAGATTAAAG